GCTGTCTCTCTCCCATGCTGCTGTGTTCTCCTGTGCTACAGTGTTCTCCATACTGCTGTCTCTCTCCCATGTTGCTGTGTCTCTCCGTGCTGGCAGCCCCATGTTGCTGTGTTCTACCCATGCTGCTGTGTCTCCCATGCTGATGTGTTCCTCCCATGCTACAGTGTCTCCCATGCTGCTACAGTGTTCTCCCATGCTGCTGTGTCTCCCATGCTACTGTGTGTCTCACATGCTACTGTGCTCTCCCATACTGTGTCTCCCATGCTACTGCCCTCCCATGCTGCTGTGGTCTCCTGATGCTGTGTTCTCCCATGCTGCTGTGTCTCCCATGTTGCTGTGTCTCTCCCATGCTGCTGTGTCTCCCATGCTGCTGTGTCTCTCCCATGCTGCTGTGTCTCCTCCCATGCTACTGTGTCTCCTCCCATGCTGCTGTGTTCCTCCCATGTTGCTGTGTTCCTCCCATGCTGTAAGCCTCCCATGCTGCTGTGTCTCCCATGCTGCCAGGTTCTCCCATGCTGCTGTGTGTCTCCCATGTTGCTGTCCTCCCTGTGCTACAGTGTCTCCCATGCTAAGCTGTGTCTCTACCATGCTGCTGTGTCTCCCATGCTGATGTGTTCCTCCCATGCTACAGTGTCTCCCATGCTACAGTGTCTCTCCCATGCTACTGGGTCTCCCATGCTACTGTGTGTCTCCACATGCTACTGTGTTCTCCCATGCTACTGTGTTCTCCCATGCTACTGTGTTCTCCCATGTTGCTGTGTGTTCTCCTATGTTGCTGCTGTGTTCCCATGCTGCTGCTGTGTCTCCCATGTTGCTGTGTCTCTCCCATGCTGCTGTGTTCTCCCATGCTGCTGTGTTCTCCCATGTTGCTGTGTCTCTCCCATGCTACTGTGTTCTCCCATGCTGCTGTGTTCCTCCCATGTTGCTGTGGTTCTCCCATGCTGCTGTGTCTCCCATGTTGCTGTGTCTCCCATGCTGCTGTGTCTCCCATGCTGCTGTGTTCCTCTCCCATGTTGTTGGTTCTCCCATGTTGTTGTCCTCCCATACTGCTGTGTTCTCCCATGTTACTGTGTTCTCCATGTTGCTGTTCCTCCCATGTTGCTGGTTCTCCCATGCTACTGTGTTCTCCCATGTTGCTGTGTCTCCCATGCTGCTGTGTCTCTCCCATGTTGCTGTGTCTCCCATGTTGCTGTGTCTCCCATGCTGCTGTGTTCCTCCCATGCTGTGTCTCCCATACTGTGTCTCTCCCATGCTACTGTGTTCTCTCCCATACTGCTGTGTTCTCCCATGTTGCTGTGTTCTCCCATGCCTGTTATGCTGTGTTCTCCCATGTGCTGTGGTGTCTCTACCATGCTGATGTCCTCCCATGCTGCTGTGTCTCTCCCATGCTGTTGTGGTTCATGCTGCTGTGTTCTCCCATGTTGCTGTGTCTCTCCCATGTTGCTGTGTCTCTCCTATGCTGCTGTGTCTCCCACTGCTGTGTTCTCCCATGCTGCTGTGTCTCCCATGCTGCTGTGTCTCTCCCATGTTGCTGTGTCTCCATGCTGCTGTGTCTTCCCATGCTGCTGTGTCTCCCATGTTGCTGTCTCCTATGCTGCTGTGTCTCCCATACTGCTGTGTCTCCCATGCTGCTGTGTCTCTGCTATGTTGCTGTGTCTCCCATGCTGTGCCTCCCATGCTGCTGTGTCTCACATGCTGCCGGTTCTCCCATGCTGCTGTGTCTCTCCCATGTTGCTGTGTTCTCCCATGTTGCTGTGTGTCTCCCATGCTGCTGTGTTCTCCCATGCTACTGTTTCTTCCATGCTGCTGTGTTCCTCCCATGCTGCTGCCCTCCCATGCTGCTGTTCTCCCATGCTGCTGTGTTCTCCCATGCTGCTGGGTCTCTTCCATGTGTGTCTCCCATGCTGCTGTGTCTCCATGCTGCTGTGTCCTCCCATGCTGCTGCCTCCCATGCTGCTGTGTCTCCCATGCTGCTGTCTCTCCCATGCTGCTGTCTCCCATGCTGCTGTGTTTCTCCCATGCTGCTGTGTCTCCCATGTGCCCTCCCATGCTGCTGTGTCTCCCATGCTGCTGTGTCTCTCCCATGCTGCTGTGTTCTCCCATGCTGCTGTATCTCCCCATGCTTATGTGGCATTCCCATGTAATGTACCTATCTTTACATGCGACCTCTACCATGACTTTATTACTCTACTATGACCACTATACTACTATGACCACCATACTCTACTTCATTACACATACACTACTTATGACCACCATACTCTTCATGACCACTATACTCTACTATGACCACCATACTTCACTCTGACCACCATACTCTACTATGACTATTATCTTCTATTGACCATATCTATATGACTACTATACTTACTATGACTAATTATACTACTCTGACCACCATACTCTACTATGACCACCATACTCTACTATGACCACCATACTCTACTATGACCACTTATACTCTACTTGACCACCATACTCTACTATGACCACCATACTTTACTATGACCATATACTCTACTCTGACCAATTATACACTACTATGACCACTATACTCTACTATGACCACTATACTTACTATGACCAATATACACTACTATGACCACCATACTCTACTATTATCAATTATACCTACTATGACCAATTATACTCTACTATGACCACCATACACTACTCATGACCACCATACTTACTACGACCACCATACTCTACTATGACCACCATACTTTACTATGACCACATACTCTACCATGACCACCATACTCTACTATGACCACCATTTACTCTGACCAATTATACTTCTACTATGACTAATTATATCTACTATGACCACCATACTCTACTATGACCACCATACTCTACTCTGACCAATTATACTCTACTATGGCCACCATACTTTTACTATGACCACCATACCTCTACTATGACCACCATACTCTACTATGACCACCATACTCTACTATGACCACCATACTCTACTTAGGACCACCCACTTACTATGACCAATACTCTACTTGACCACCATACTCTACTTTGACCACCATACCTTACTATGTCCACCATACTCCTCATGACCCACCATATTCTACTATGACCAATACCTCTTACTCTGACCACCATACTCTACTATGACCACCATACTCTACTATGACCACCATACACTACTATGACCACTATACTTACTATGACCATTATACTCTACTATGACTCATACTCTACTATGACCACCATATTCATGACCACCATACTTTACTCTGACCACCATACTCTACTCTGACCACCATACTCTACTATGACCACCTACTCTACTATGACCACCATACTTACCTGGACCAATATACTCTACTATGACCACCATACCTACTATGACCACATACTTACTTGACCACCATACTCTACTATGACCAATATAATTTACTATGACCACCATACTCTACTATGACCATATACTCTACTACATCCACCATACTCTACTATGACCACCATACTCTACTATGACCACCATACTTACTATGACCAACTATACACTACTATGACCACCATACTCTACTATGACCACCATACTCTACTCTGACCACCATACACTACTATGACCACAATATACTCTACTATGACCAATATACACTACTATGACCACCATACTCTACTATGACCACCATAATTTACTATGACCACCATACACTACTATGACCACCATACTCTACTATGACCACCATACACTACTATGACCACCATACTCTACTATGACCACCTATACCTACTCTGACCACCATACCTACTATTTTATACTCTACTATGACCATCACACTATACACCACCACCATACTCCCCTGATACCATACTCTCTATATTACCATACTCTACTATGACCACCACTCTACTACCAATACCATACACTACTATGACCACCATTTTCTATGACACCATACTCTACTATGACCAGCCACTACTATGACACCACATACACTACTATAACCACTATACCATGACACCATACTCTCACCATACCTGCTCTACTATGATACCATACTCTACAACCACCATACACCTACTATAATACCATACACTACTACCACCATACTCTACTATGACCACCATACTACTATGATACCATACTCTACTATGACCTATACCACATACCATACTCTACCTACTGCTACCATACCCTACTATACCTACTATGACCACCATACTCTACTATACCATACTCTACACCACCTACTCTACATGACCACCCCACTACTATGACCACCACACTACTATGACCACCATACACTACTATGACCACCATACACCTACTATGATACCATGCTCTACTATAACCACTATACACCATGACTACCGCCTCTGCATGACCACCCATACTCTACTATGACCACCATACTCTACCATGACCACCATACTATACCATGACCACCATACCTACTATGACCACCATACTCTACCACCATACTCTGAGCCACCATACTCTACTATGACCACCATGCTCTACCATGACCACCATATACACCACCATTGCTCTACTATGACCACCATGCTCTACCATAACCACCATACTCTACCGATGCACCATACACTATCATTACCATACACACTACTGACCCACCACATACACTACTATGACCACCATACTGCCACTATACTATAACCACTATACCATGACCACCATACTCTTACCATGACCACCATATACTACTATGACCTTACCTTATACCATACTATACGACCACCCTCTCTATGACCACATACTTACCATACCATACTCTGCCTGACCATACTTCCTGCACCATACTCTACCTGCCACCATACAGTATATAGAAGTGTGTGTGTGTGTGTGTGTGTGTGTGTGTGTGTGTGTGTGTGTGTGTGTGTGTGTGTGTTTATAGGCACCATAAGGAACAGGCTTAATACATCAGGTTATTATTTTTGTACAACACTGATGTGAGAGTTTTGTTATTGCAAATTGTAGTGAGTTCCTTTTGGGTCATTTTCTTTAACAG